CAAGCAAATGTCACACAATGGTATCATTATAAACTCATGATTAATAACCACTTCTGAGCTCTCCATAGTGCTCAAAAGCTCTCGTGCATTTATTTGTTCAAGTTGTTCTACCATTTGATCAACCCTCCATCCAGTTGGGCAAAACAAAAAAAATTGAGTTATCTATGATCCTTCCCTGTCCATCATCTTTCACTTCCAATGCATAATCAAATCTTACGATTTTATCTCCTAGTAGACTTCCAAATTACTCTCCTTTTTCCCATTTCTAGTACCACCACCTTAGTCCAAGCCACCATGATCTCAGAGCAGTCTTCCTCCTGCCATGGGGCCTTTACGTAGGCTGCTTCCTTCCATGGGAACATTCCTTCCGTCTCTGAGATCTCCGGAGCAGTCTTCCTCCTGCCATGGGAACATTCCTTCCGTCTCTGAGATCTCAGCTAAGGTGTCACTTTCTCTCAGAAGTCTTCCCTGATTCTCAGTCTCGTCTACCTCTTTTCTGGAATAGTGTTCCTTTCCCTCAGAGAGTACTTAATTTATAAATATACATTTGCTAGTATGATTATATGAGCAATGTGTACTCTACTAGACTCTGCTGTATTATCTGTGTTTGTCTACCCTTATTATATCCCTATCACCTAGCACCATACGTAGCAATAGTGAAAATTTGTTGAATGAATAAACTGCTCATTTTCTTTCATCCTTTGTGTTATATTAGGAGCGTTGTCCCACCTACCATCTAAGGCAGATCCTTCACTTGCACTCTCACCTATAGGATGAAGAGCCTGTCCCCTCTCCCCTTCTCAGGACATTCTTTCTGCTGTGCTTCACCATGTCCCTCTAGTTACTGAGCTCTCCTTTCTAAGCCAGACTTCTCATTATCTCCATTTCCTCACTACCAGTCACTCCTGAACTCATTGCAGTCTTCCTTCTCCCACTACTTCATTTAAACTTGTGTTTACCGTATTACCAACGCTGCCTACCAATGAACTCATGTAATTACAGGCAATAGACATGTTTTCATGTCTGTTTGGCTTGACCTGTCAGCAACATTTGACTACTGATGATATCTTCCTTCTTAAATTAACACTTTCTCTGAGCTTTTCTGGTGAGACACTTGGTTTCTCTCAAATATTTCTGACCATTCCTTTTATGGCTTTACATGTCCCAGTCCCTTGTTGATATTCTCAAAGCTCTTAAACAGCCCTCTTCTCTATCACTTCTTTAGGCCACTTCATTCATACCTATGACTTCAGCTTCCATCTAAATTTTTATAATTCCTTAGTTGATACTTGCACCCCAAATTCCTCTACTAACTTTACATATAATAAACTTTATATAGTAAATATATATAATATACATGTTTAATATATACAACTGCTGTTCCCCCAGAGTTCTCTATTTCAGTTCATAGACACTAAGTTTTGCCTCATCCAGTGATGGCGAACCTTTTGAGCTTGGCGTGTCAGCATTTTGAAAAACCCTAACTTAACTCTGGTGCCATGTTCCATATAGAAATTTTTTGATATTTGCAACCATAGTAAAACAAAGATTTATATTTTTGATATTTATTTTATATATTTAAATGCCATTTAACAAAGAAAAATCAACCAAAAAAATGAGTTCACGTGTCATAGGTTCGCCATCACTGGCCTAGTCACTCAATAGAGAAACCAAAGCGTCATCTTTGACTACTCCCTCTTTGCCACTATCAGAACCAATATATCTCAAAGCCCTGTCACTTCTACCCACAAATTATAGCTCAGATCTATTCATATATGTTCCACTTCATTGCTGGAATTGTAATAAAAACCACCACTATTCTGGCCTGGAGCATTGAAGCAACCTTCAAACCAGGTTTTGTTCCCCTTTATGTACGACACTGTAGCAAAAGTGGTCTTAAGAAACCCCAATCCTGGCACTTCCATGCTTAAGAAAATCTTTAATTACCCTCACATTGTCCTAAGGTTATATCCTAGAGATAGATGTCCATGGTGCAGAGGAACTTGCACAGTCAGGTCCCTGCTGACCTCTCCAGCCTAATCCTTTAGCACTGAGCCCTCATGCTATATTCCTCACTCCAGTCCCTAGCAATTCATTCTCATGTCACCTGCACTTTTATTCAAGTTAAGATGACAACTCCAATGTGTCGGTTGCTTAAGCCAAAAAACTTTGGAGGTATCTTTGACGTTCCACCTCTCAGACCTCATATGAGATCTGTCAACAAATCACATTGGTTTTATCTTCAAAATCTGAGAATTCCACCACTTCTCACCACTCCATGCTGCCATCCTGGTTTAAACCTCCCTCTTCTCTTGCCTGGATTTTTGTAGTCGCCTCTCCCTGTTTCTTTTATTGCTCCCCAGTAATGTTTTCTCAGAGAGTAGCCAAAGTGTCCGTGTCCCTTCTCTTTTCAGAATCCTCCAGCACTTCCTCCCCTTTCATGCAGAGTAAAAGCCCAAGTCCTTGCTGG